TAATTGCTTTACAATGTTGTGTTAGTCTCTGCTGTACAGTGAAGTGAATCAGCTATATGTATACATATATCCCCTAACTCTTGAGTCTCCCTCCTACCCCGCCATCCCACCCCTCTAGGTCATCACAGAGCACCAAGCTGGGCTTCCTGTTCTATACAGCAGCTCTCTACTAGCTATGTATTTTATACATGGTAGTATATACATGTCAGTGCTACTCTCTCAATTTGTCCCACCCTCCCCTTCCCCTCCTGTGTCCACAAATCCATTCTCTACGTCTGCATCTCTTTTCCTGCCCGACAAATAGGTTCATCAGTACCATTTTTCTAGATTCCTTATATATGCGTTAATATACGATATTCATTTTTCTCTTTCTGACTTGCTTCACTTGCTATAACAGACTCTAGGTTCATCCACATCACTACAAATGACCTAATTTCTTTCCTTTTTATGGCTAAGTAATAGTCCATTGTATATATGTACCACATCTTCTTTATCCATTCATCTGTCAATGGACATTTAGGTTGCTTCCATGTCCTAGCTACTGTAAATACATGGGGTACATGTATCTCTTTGAACTATGTTTTTCTCAGGGTATATGCCCAGTAGTGGGATTGCTGGGTCATATGGTAGTTCTACTTTTAGTTTTTTAAGGAACCTCCATACTCTTCTCCAAAGTGGCTGTATCAATTTACATTCCCACCACCAGTGCAAGAGGGTTCCCTTTTCTCCACACCCTCTCCAGCATTTATTGTTTGTAGATTTTTTGATGATGGCCATTCTGACTGGTGTGAGGTGATACCTCACTGTGGTTTTGATTTCCATTTCTCTAATAATTAGGGATGTTGAGCATCTTTTCATGTGTTTATTGGCCATCTATATGTCTTCTTTGGAGAAATGTCTATTTAGGTCTTCCGCCCATTTTTGGATTGGGTTGTTTGTTTTTCTGATATTGAGCTGCATGTGCTGCTTCTATATTTTGGAGATTAATCCTTTGTCAGTTGCTTCGTTTGCAAATATCTTCTCCCATTCTGAGGGTTGTCTTTTTGTCTTTTTTATGGTTTCGTTTGCTGCACAAAAGCTTGTTAAGTTTAATTAGGTTCCATTTATTTAAGGATGTAATGGACAACATGATAAAGGTAATTCACACTGCTGTACATTATATGTGAAAGTTATTAAGAAAGTAAATCCTAAGAGTTCTCATCACAAGGAAAAAAATTTGTTTTCTATTTTTTTAATGACGTATCTACATGAGATGATGGATGTTCACTAAACTTATTGTGATAATCATTTCATGATGTATGTAAGTTAAATAATTATGCTGTACACCTTAAACTTATATAGTGCTGTATGTCAATTATATCTCAATAAAATTGGCAAACAAAATCCTGGTATGGTGACTGGCACATAGTAGGTGCTGGTTAGAATTTTGGTCCTATTTCCCTGATACTTTTTTTTTTTCCTTAAAAAATATGTCACTAGGACTTCCCTGGTGGGGCAGTGGTTAAGAATCCGCCTGCCTATGTGGGGGACATGGGTTTGAGCCCTGGTCCGGGAAGATCCCACGTGCCACAGAGCAACTAAGCCCATGTGCTACAACTACTGAGCCTGTGCTCTAGAGCCCGTGAGCCACAACTGAAACCCACGCACCTAGAGCCCATGCTCTGCAATGAGAAGCCACCGCAATGAGAAGCCTGCACACCACAACGAAGAGTAGCCCCTACTCGCTGCAACTAGAGAAAGCCCCCATGCAGCAACAAAGACCCAGCGCAGCAAATAGTATAAAAAAAAAAAAAAAGCTGGTGGCAGAAGTATGTATAGACTCTGATCCCATTTATATAAAAATGCACACATATATAAATTTGTGTACACATAGAAAACGTCTGAGTACGCTGAATGCAAAAACCACTGTCAAGAGGAGATACTTTGGAGAGTAGAATTTGGCGGAGTGTAGTGGGAGAACTTTAATGTTTTTCTTTACAAACTTTCATAATACTTTATATTACAAACTCCTGTGTTATTTGAATTACCATGGATTTTTTTTTAAGAATAAATGAGGGAAAAGTTGTAATGAGAGAAAGTAACACATAATGTAAGGAAGAGAATTAGAACCATCAGTACTCAAAAGAAGAACATTAGTTGCCTTTGGAAGTAGTGAGTTCCCCTTCTCTGGAGATATCTGAAGTTTACTTTAATGGTTACACTTATCACCATTTTAAACCATAATCCTGGGCCAAAAAGCAGGAATTAGGCTATTTCTGTTACTCTTTGTTATAAGATTTCCTCTGCTGATGTTGTTTTCTTTATTCTTTTTAGTTGTAGGATTATCATGGGATATTTCCTGAATGGCTACTGTGTTGCAGACATCGTGCTTTACATACGCAATCTCATTTAATTCTCACAATAATGCATGATAGCATGATTATTATTTCCATTTTATGGATGAGGAAACTGAGGCCAAGGGAGGTAAAACAACTTACTCAGTGTCACAGAGCTAGTAATGTGGTGAAGATTTGGGGTGTCAAGTCTTTAATATCCTTCTTTTTTAAGCATCTTTGACCTCTCCCATATTACATCCAGAAATGTGACCTTGGTAATTACCTCCTCTCTAAAGACAGTTTCTGATTAGTCAAAGCCAACAATCATAATAAAACATTTTAATGAACATTTTTCCTCCTCATCGTAGCTGGTATGATGATTTGGAACTTCTTCGTGTGCTTTTTAGTATTCATCTTTCTGAAGAAATGACCTTGACCCTGGTGGGACAGGCAGGGCATTTATCTGCCTGGGCGGGCGGGGTGGGAAAACATGAGGGGAGGGTGCGGAGATTAGAAATCTTACGTATAAAGTGCAAAGACAAAGGTGCAAGTAACAATCCCACCTGACATTGCAAATAAAATTGCATTCTGCCTACAGAGAGCCGTTGTTCTGAGGAGGGCTTTTCTAAATTCCTTCATTTCCCCCTAAAATACACAAAGGAAAAGGCCTTGCTTTTTTGACTAGGGATGAGAAAGCCTGGTTAGTAACTCTGCCATATAACACTGGGTAATAAATGAATATCCCACTCCTTTCTACCCCAAGGAGCGATGGGAAGAAGAGAAGTGGGCAAGAGAGAAAAGGGAGAGAGGGGAGAAGCAGGAACCTGTCCGCTCTGCTCTGGGTTGAAACTTCTGAGGGAGGATTTGTGTTAAATGCAGCCAGAGTAGTTTCAGGGAGTCTGAGGGCTGGGCCCTGCCCTGCTTTGTGGGCAAAGCCTGGGACAATTGTAGTCTCCTGAGAGAGGCCCTCAGTGCATCAGACTCTGGAAAAACCAGGCGGCCTTTGGACCTGATATCTGAGGGAGGCTTCTGGTGGAATAGGGTTCCCAGTTTCTTGAGGTGCTAAGGCTGGAGTGGCGGGCAATCTAGAGAATCCGGTGGGCCTAGGCTGCAGAGTAGGTCTCAGAAGGTGGTCGGCTGTGGGAGGTTGGCAGGCCTCCTCTTGACCCGTCTCAGGCCTGCTTATGGACTGGAGGACCACGTCAGTGGAAGGAATAGAGACTTGGCCTTTGTAAGGCCCCGAAGCCAGGAATTTGAGGGAGGGATGTTTGTATGGGAACCCGAAGGCTGCCGAGGGACCCCAAAGTTGACGTAGCCTGAACTCACTGAAGACCAGCACCAGGCCACCTGGCTCCTGGGGCAGGGGAAGTCACATCCCTTTCTCCACACATGCAGACCCCCTCCAGACCTCACCCAGTCCCCATCCACCCAGTCCCCATCTGAGCCATTTCTGAATGGCTCAGAAATCTGAGACTGAGCCTTATCTGGAGCGATACTGTCTAATGGAACATTCTGCAATGATGTGCACATTCTAAATGTCCAATATGGTAGCTATGAGCCACGTGTGGCTATCAAACACTTAAGACATGGCTAGTGACTCTGAGGAAATGAATTATTTTTCATTGTTAGCCATTATTTTTATTGTAAAAAAACAATTTAACAATATAAAAGGAGAATTTATTAAAATAGGAAACAGTACCACTCATAATCCTTACACCCTAACATAAAGTTATTTGTATATAATCTTTGAGTCTTATTCTTTTGTATGTGTACTTTTACATTTTTAAAATCAACACATTCAAGATAAAAATCAACTTTTAATTATTTTATCTCTAAGGATATCTAGGAAGAGAGCTAAAATATTTCTGAGTAAAGGGCAGTGAAAATAAACTTTGTTTTGTAGTTTTTTGAGAATTATTTTAAAGAATTCAAAGGGAAATCGAATGATACAGCTGTGTGGAGAACTGAATTTTAAATATGAACTAATTAACATTTAAAATTAGATAGCCACAAGTGGCTAGTGACTACCATACTGGATAATGAATATATTAGAGGGGCTACTTAATGTACTGAATTGAACTATGTTTTAAAGTAGAAAGGATGAAAAGGTAATGTTTCCCCTCTAATAAGTGGTTATTGTAAAGAAGAATGGGTTAGTTACAGATCAAATAAGGAAATTACCTCTTCTCTGTGTATCCAATGGTTGTGAGATACATTTTTGACTCCACTCTATATTATTGCTAATTGAAAAATCTGGAAAATACAGGTGAGCTAAAAGGAAAAATTAATATCTAGAGTTCCACCTTTTCCCTTTTTATTTTAATAAATAAATGTGACCGTCCAGTCTGGTCACATGTGCGTGTAGGTGTATATATGTGTGTATGTATAATTATTTTTAAGAATGGAATTATAGTGTCCTGTTGTTTTATAATTTGCTTTTCCCCTGATTTATATCACAAATAATCCCCAAATGAAAACACTGAGGCTGTCTTCAGTGTTTCCGGCTCATGAGCGATGCTTTGATAAATGTCCTGGTGGCCAAATCTTTGTGCACAGCCATAACTGTTTTCTTGGTACTGCTCTCCTGGATCCTATGTGCCCCTGACTTCCATAAAATCTCCATGGCACATTCATTGTCCCCTTCCCTTCAACCAACCAATCCACCTTGCTCTTTTTCTCCCTCAGGAACCCCACCTTATCCCACTGTGAAGGAATCAGAGGAAGATTATTTACTTCACTTGAGTCTAGTTGAATATTTACCAGGATTAATCCAGATGGGAGAAGGCAGGTCCTGTCTCCTGGTTGGGAGTGGGGTTCTCCGCTTGTCTCCACATAAAATTTAAGAGGTAAAGAGGCCATATGGTTGTTTCCTGTTTATGGAAACCTCATCTTTCTTCACCTGTCCTTCCTGTTCCCTCTTCCTGTCTTTGCCTTCATGTGCATCCCGCGATTTCCTGTTCTGTGACCTGCCATGAGGCTTCTCTGAGCTCACGGTGGGAATGTTTGAGAGAATCCTCACCAGGTAGGATCATTGTGAATTCCACTTAACTCAGCTATAACTTAGTTACAACCCCCCCTTTCTAATTTGACTGATTTCCACACTTTAGAAATGTTTCCCCAGCCTGACACCATTCTCCTGGTGGCAAACCGTGGCTCTACTGTCACCTCTCTGACAGATCCTTTAAATTACTAAACGGTGACAGGAGTAAAGGGAATAGGAGAGTCATTCATCGCTGATAATTGTCTTCACGTTGTATGAATCATCTGTCTCTATTTGTATGCCAAGGTGATTAAGAAGTTACTGTAAAGAGTTGCTGTAAAAATTATTTTACTCTTTTTATTCTGAAAAGGCAATACATGCACAAGGCATGAAATTAAGAGAACGTGAAAAGGTATAGAGTGAAAATTAATTCTCCCTTTTACCCCCATCCCCAGAGAGGTTTTCTTTCCAGAGGTAACTGTTGTTGTTATCAGTTTCTTGTGTTGTTATCAGTTTTTTGAGGACCTGCGATGTCCAGTAAGGACACCCTGCCATATGTGCCGATGCGTATATAGCTGCACTGAACACACAAAAGGTAGCTAGTCCAAACTGAGATGCGCTGTAAGTGTAAAACACACACCATATTTTAAAGACGTATGAAGGAGGGCATGTAAAATATCTCATAAATAATTTTTGTATTGATTGCATGTTGAAGTGACAATATTTTGGATATTCTTAAGCGCATTTTACCCGTTTCTTTTTACTTTCTTTGTAACAACTAGAAATTTTTAAATTAACATATGTGGCTCACATTTGCAGCTTGCATTATGTTTCAGCCCAAAAGTGGAGGACACTTAGATTGTTTCGAGTTTTCTTCTGCCCACTTTTTACAGATGATGCTACAATAAATAGCCTTTTATATTATCACACTGATGCAGTTGGATAAGCTAGATCAAATAATATTTATTTACATTTTTAATTTTGACAAATGTTGTCCAGTTTGTCTCCTGAGAGGATGTGACAACTTATACACCCATAAGTTTGCTCATGCCCCTTACCTCCCTAACACGTGTAGTATCAAACATTTGGATCTTTGCCAATCTGATAATTGGCAAACTCTATGGTTAGTTTAGACTACCTGGTCAAGTAACTTAGTTTAAAATATATCTAAGAATAATGATTACTAATTTTATGTAGCAAATTATCATTTCCAAAGCATTTTCATATGTTTCCTCATTCAATTCTTACAATAACCTGGTGATACAAGCATTTTAGCTAGAAGCAAACTGAAGCTGAGATAAGGAGGAGAAATGAACCTCTGTGTGTGGTGAATACTTTATATACATAAATTCATTTAATTCTCAACACAATATGGAAGCAGATTTTATAGGCTTTATGATTCCCATTTTATAGATGAGGGCACTGAGGTTCAGCATGGTTAGGTGACTCACAGAAATCACACAGCAAATAGAGGGGTTAATGGTGCAACTTTGCTGTCAGACTAGCGTGAGTGAACTACCTTACTAGCTGTGTGAACTTGGACAAGTGTATTTATATGTAAAATTGGGAGAATAAAAGTACCTACCCTATGGAGGGGTGTCAAAATTAACTGAGGTGGTGTATATAAATAGCACAGTGCCTGGCACACAGCAAGCCCTTAAACAAGTGTGTGTATGTGTATACATGTGTGTATGTACATGTATGTGTGCATTTGTGTGTGTGTGTGTGTGTGTGTGTGTGTATGCATGCCAGGATTCAAACCCAGGTTCTTGGTTTCCTGAGCCCTCACCTCTTTGTTTTCCCCCTCCCAATGACTCAGTCTGTCTAGGCAGTAGGCTCAGTTTTCTGACCCAGTTATTATCTTTGTGTGAGTCGGGAAGGGCAGGAGCAGAGGGGAGGGGAGGCATTTCCAGGTTTTCATGTGCCTGCCACCTCCTCTCCAGCCAGGGGAGAGGTTGACCCTTTCTGTACCTGATTATCTTCTTCATCAAATGGGTCATGGGGCAGTATTGATAAGGTGGAGACTCTTACAAGCTGTCTTTGACGTCTTGGAGCAAAATAATTTGCAAGTCACATGGACTTGTGAGTGAAAAGGTGAAAACGCTTGTACTAGGGACTCATGTGGAAGTTGCCCCTGGCTCAGGGACACTATTGATTAGGGTAGGCTAGTGCTGGCATACTTAGATGCCTCCAAATCAAGTAAATAATTATAATCCAATAAACTGCAGTTGTGAAGTTGAGCAGAACCTTCTGTGATTTTAGAAGGGTCTTTATTCTTTCCCTTTTGGAAAAAAAATGACAGGAAGTAAGTGATCAGGAAGTGCAGGAACAATAGGCTTTTCCTGGAAGAGTGGCTCTGAAGTGATGACTAAACATTCAGACATGCTGGGCTTCACCGGCAGAGGCTGAGGCCATGGCCACAGCGGAGAGAGGGGCCATAGGTAACTTCGGAGAGAGGGACAGTTCAGCTGAAGTGTATTATTGACTACTCCCTATCTGGTGGAAATAAGTGAGAGATTAGGGCAAGGTTATACTGGACCTGGAGACCATCACATAGTTAACTGGCAAAAACTGCTGCCTGATTTGAAGCCTTGAAGGAGTTCTTAGTATCAGTCAGGAACAGCCAAAAGAGAATGCTTTCATTTGCTTCGGTAAAGGAAACGTCCTAGAGGTTTTTGAAATGTCTTAAAAATGGTAGCAGACAGCGCAGGTCTGTTGCCTGTTGGTCTTCCATCTTTTAGTCCACTGAATTCTGTTTTGAAAGACCTTGTATGACTAGCAACGTTTATTAAGCCAAGTTGTTTTTCTTTTTATAATTAATCATGATTTGTAAAAAATAAAACTACCCCTCTGAATGCCTCATCAGCCTGATGTAATCCGTGTGATCACGCTGAATTAATGTAATCTGGGGCAGGAGAAGAGACACACGATGCTTAAGGTATGCTAAGCTGCCTGCTTACCAGCGAATGCATGATTTTTCCTAGGCTTTGTGACATGCTGACAAACCGCTCTGGAGCCCTTCTTTCTAGCTCCTCAGACCCTTTAGAGAACCAGGAGCCTTAGCATCTGTTTTGTAGGGGTTCCTAGGAAAGGAGAAGGTCCCTTTCCAATGGAGCATGAGATTGAAGTAACAGTAACGTTTTATTTCTTTGAAAAATATTTAAAGATGATAAAGAAAAAAAAATCATTCATAATCTTACCACTTCAACAAATTATATAAGAAGAGTATCTTCTTCAGCAATCTCATTTCATGTCCCTGAGGTAACATTGTGAAGAAACAAGGTGTATATTCCTCTCATTTCTTTTCTTAACTGTGTAATTATACACACACACACACACACACACACACACACACCCCTGCTTTCTTAAACAGAATGGGATGCAGTTTGCTGTTTTTTACTTGATTCTCTACATTAGCACTTAGAATTTTTCTTTTTTAAAAATGGTTACAAAACAGTTGACATTTAACAAAGTTTGTTACGTGCTATTTATTCTTCTAAGCATTTCCAAGTATTAACTAACTTTAATGCTCACAACAACATCTGAGGTAACCACTTTTCTCATTCCCATTTAACAGAGGGAGGAGCCTGAGGCCTTGAGAGGCTGCGTGATTTGCCCAGGATCGTAAACATTAGTGCAGCCAGGACCCCAGCTCAGTCAGTTCAGCTCTATCACCCACACAGCTCACTCTTCCGCTCACATTTGCAGCCACTGTGCCATGGATGGACCATAGCTTAGTCAGCCTTTCCAATTTTTTTCTTCTTTGTTATTTCAATGCTTAATAAATACCTCTGTACATACATCTTTATGTCCTTTTGCTTTTCTGTCTGAAGTGTTATCTCCTACAAGTGGGATTGCTGGGTCAAAGAATAGATTATATAAAATTTGAATTAAAGTTATTTTTTCTTCTGGTTTTATTGAGATATAATTGACATACAGCACTGTATAAGTTTAAGATGTACAGCATAGTGATTTGACTTACATACATCATGAAATAATTGCCAAGTTTAGTGAATATCCATTATCTCATATAGATACAAAATAAAAGAATAAGAAAGACAATTTTTTCCTCATGATGAGAACTCTTAGGATTTTCTGCTAAGAGCAGTATATAATATATAGCAGTGTTAATTATATTAACCATGTTGTACATTATAATATATATATATTATGTTAACCACATTGTACATCCCTAGTATTTACTTATAACTGGAAGTTTGTACCACCTTCATCCAATCCGCCCTGTAGTTTTAATTATTGCTCACGTGTTAACATGCCTTACATCAAAGAATACAGTCTATACAATTTTTATATCAAGTGTTTGGTTAGTGGACGTTCTAAAAAGAGGATCATAACTTTACTTAAAAATATAAACATAGTCTGATCGTGGAACAACAGACTAGGCAATATGTGGATTTTCTAGGTCCCTTCTTTCTTCTCAGCATTTTCGTGTCATGTCACTGCTCTGCCACTTATTAATAGGTTAACCTTGGGCAAGTTAGGCCAAATTTCCTCATCTGGAAAGTGGAGTTAACGAGAGTATCTCATTCTGTGGAAGTATTGTGAGGACTGAATCAAATAATTCACGCCCAGCATTTGACATTGTGCCTGGCACACAGGAGGCCTGAGTCAATGTTAGCAGGGAGCTGAGGCAGCAGCACAAATCAACATCAAGAGTGGACAGTTTGGGGGCTTCCCTGGTGGCGCAGTGGTTAAGAGTCCACCTGCCAAGGCAGGGGACACGGGTTCGAGCCCTGGCCCGGGAAGATCCCACATGCCGCGGAGCAACTAAGCCCCGTGAGCCACAACTGCTGAGCCCGAGCTCTAGAGCCTGCACGCCACAACTACTGAGCCCACGTGCCACAACTACTGAAGCCTGTGCGCCTAGAGCCCGTGCTGCTCAACAAGAGAAGCCACGACAATGAGAAACCCGCGCACCGCAACGAAGAGTAGCCCCCGCTCACCGCAACTAGAGGAAGCCTCCGCGCAGCAGTGAAGACCCAACACAGCCAAAAATAAATAAATTTTTAAAAAAAGGAGTGGACAGTTTGTTAGCTTTCAAACTGGGTTCAATATGCAAGAGATTTCCGAAACAGAGTATGGAGAAGGCTTCTGAAGATTACAACGAGGTTATCTGGCAGTTGGAGTGAATGGGGTGAGAATTTCATGAAATTGACCACTAAGTGGGATGCCATAGGCAGCCCCTTCTGAGTTGCCCTCCATTCAGAAAATCCCCTCCACGGCCCATCCAGCATCTCTGACCAGCTGGCTTCTCTTCTTCCTCCTGACTTCAAGGTTCTATCTTCTACCTTTGCCATTTCTTGTCTACAGCCTCTCCCCGGTGATCTGTTTATGCTTCGGTGGTTACAGAAACTTAGAGAATAATTAAGGACAGGGGAGAAAGAAGTGATTTTTTTGTTATGAGGATGGGAGGAAAGAGGGTTGAGAACGTTGGCCAACTTGGAGGTGGGGGTAGGGCAGGAAGGAATTCAGTTTAAAATGTCACCTTTTGGACTTGATTTTCACCATTGGCTTTTTGAGTCTCGGTTAATTGAGTCTTTTTGCCAAAATGATAAAATGCTCCCCTTTTGCATTTGGGGTAAGTTGATAGGAATTAATCAGACTCTGTGAAGTGTGTAGAGGAGTGTATGACCTATCTAGGTATGTGTGGGAGTAGTTCCACCAGATGTGAAAGTCAAATTAGCACAGTTGCTCCCTGCAGCTGGGGGGAAGGTTTATCTGGGAAAGAGGCTGAATCTGTTGGCTAAAGCAAGCCTTTGGGTTTTATCCATGGTTTCTCATATTCCATGCATTTAATAATTAAGAGTTGGCTCCATACCAGTAATGTGGAGCCTCAGAATTAATACGTGGGAGTTTGGGTGCATAACGTTTTGATGCTTATTATTACCTGGAGATAACTACTGGGTCTGTAAGACTAGCCAGGAAATCTCATGAAAAGAGTTCCTTTGTTGATATACTGGCTCCTGTTTTATTGTATTTGGTGGAGCAATCTAATAAAAATAATAATTTTTACTTTTCTGGTTTATTTGTGGGTTCAACTGAGAAGCTAAGGAACGCAATACTGAAAAAAGGACCAGGGGGAAAATGAATTAATGAAGCCTCCCCAAGCTCTGAGTGAAGAATACTATCGAGGCCATCTGTGGTCTGCCTGCCCAGTGCCCTTCGTCTCCACAGGGTCCATCTCTTTCTGCGGGAAAATCACATCTCCCTGACCCTGATCTTATGGTTTGGACGGAGAGGGCACTACCTCCTGGCTCTGGTGGGAACTCAGTTTCAACCAATAACACCACATCCCTCCGGTCACAGTAACTAATTCTGGGGCTGGCCCTTGACCAATGCCAGATCAGACAGAGGCAAGCCTGAGCCTCTTGCTCAAATCCGTGGGATTGCTAAACTGGCAGCACATACGCCCAGAGCTTCTGGAAGTCATCCTGCTACCACAGGAGAGGAGCCTGCCAGAGAAGAAATCCAACATAAAGGAAAGCAGAGCCAGGGATGGATACTAATTCCTGATGACACCATATGAGTATCTGGATCCAGCTGCACTTACAACCAGAACCACTTGGATGTTTGTTATCTAAACAAATAAGTCTTTTGTTGTTGTTGTTAAGTCAGTAATAACTTGAATTCTAAGTATTCTATACCCAGAAAGGAAGAATCTATCTGTATACAAATTTATAGCCTGGAGAAATAAAATGTCAGCCTCTTCTGTTAATCTTCCTGGTGTCGAAAAAAGAAAGATATCTCAGTGATGAGACTGTTGGCTAGTTTCCAAAATGTGTCAGGGTGAGGAATCATATTATTCTTTTCCTTGCTCCCAAATATGTTTCTGACAGCCACATGGTGTTCAGATAGCCAGTGTTTGTGTAGAAATCCCCTGTCTGTCCAGCCTTATCATGTTCAGCGGATCTCTGTTTGCAGAGACTAGGTGTCCCTTCTCCCTCTTTTGCCTTTGCTCAACACATCCTGTGTCTTATCTGGAGCTCCTGGAAGCCAAGTTTCTCTTTTCAGATGAGCACCTCCCCATGTTAACATATGAATCATGCTGACAATACAGACGATCCTTACCCTCCAGGTCCTGAGGAAAAGAGAAGGCTTGGAAGGCTTATGTAGCTGTATGATGACAGTCTACAGAGAGAGACACAAGACTGCTGAGACCACACATGCAAATGGAGCTTGACTTTAGCCCTATGTTAGGAGAATCATTTTCCCGAGAGAACAGAGTTAGTGCCACCCATCTGTTGCCAAGAGCCATCTCTTAGACCCTTGATGTGGGATTGTGAAATAGAGTTGGCCTAATGACAAGGGGGCATAAAAAGTGGAACTTCCTCACTCCAAATGTCTAATTTATATGGTAGAAAACTATGCTCAATTTGTAAGAATTTATTTCATATTCTGCACCAGTTTGCAATGGTCATATGAGACCCAGCACTGGCCTGAGCATCTCTAGATTAGGGATTGGGAACTCAAGTGCCTGCAGGTGCCAGGAAGCTGGCAGAGTTGGGTGAAGTGGACTGGGTGGGGCCTGAGCACTTGCTTGCATGATTCAAGGGAGCTGTCACCGTTCGGCTCCATCTGAGGGTCATGTGCACGTGCAGCATGCACTCTGTGCTGTTGGATCTTACTTGCTTCACCAGAGGGCCTGGAACCCAGAAGTCATCCATTTGCAACCTCTGACTTGATAATAACATAGGTGATTGTTCCAGGTGGCTGGATGTTGGGTTGGGTTTAAACCTAATTTAGTTCACTTTGAATAGGACCCAAAGTGTTGTGGTTTAGAGCACAGACTCTGGTGTCAGGCCAACCTGGGTTTGTGGCCTGGCTTTGACATTTACTAATGTTTTGACCTTAGCCAAGGAATGTAACATCTTGGAGATGCAGTTTTCACATTTGTAAAATGGGGTTGCATCTGGCTGTGGGTGGGCTTCGGGGTAGCAGAATTTGAGGTTAAGTGACATGATGCTCTTAAAGCTCTTATGCAGTGGTTTTGTAAAAGTGTAAAGCTTTCATAAATGCTAGCAGTTCTATGACTAGAGCTGACAGAAATCCAAGTAAGAAGTTGTTCTTTTATTCTCCAGAAGTATAAAGTCAGAGAGACAATACTGTGTAGTGGTTAAGAGGTACAAACCCTGGAGTCAAATCTTGCTCTCTTTCTAGCCATGAGACCTTAGCCTCTGTTTTCTCATCTGTAAAATGGAGATCTAAGGTTGTCTATCCCCAAAGAGTCTAAATAATTATGTGATTTAACACTTAACAACTGAGTTCGCATTCCTAAAACATTTAGAACAGCCTGACACACAGGAAGGGCTATGGGAGTGAAAGTTTACAATACTGTGATTGCAGTGAAGTTTTAATAGCTCTTGTAACTTTGTCATTTGAGTAACACTGTATACATATCCTGGAACTTGTCGTTTACATTATACTAACTTTAATAACACCTGATGCAATTATTTTTAACGTAAAGAGTTACAAAAGTTTATTCACTATTATAAAGGCCACTTCAAATCCACAGTGAAAGGTATAAAAATGTAGAGTATAAAAAAATGAATGCAATTATGTCAAGTTCTTTAAAAGCAGGTTTTACAAAACTCATCTAGATGAGAGTCACGTACATTAGGAAAAAAATAACAATTGGTTGAGAGCCTGTTTTGTGCAATGCACGTGGTGAAGCCTAGAATCAAAGCAATAAATGGGGAAAGGTAAACACCTCTACTTCAAGCCAACATCCATGTCCACACACACTAGCATATTGTCGGTATGGGGACATTTCCTGAGATCTTTTTCTACCTTCAGAAGTTACCTGGTAGCGCTGGGGTACAGGGGATAAAGATCAGTACTAGTGAGTTCAGAAGTAATGCAGACAAAGTTGCTTCCAGGGCGGGTATAGGGACTCAGCCAGGAGGTGTCCGGGGTCTTGCACGGTGGGAAATGGGAAAGAGGACCAGTGGAGGGGTTGGGTGTGCTCCTTCACTGTTTCTTCTTCCCAAAGCCTGCGGGGAGAGTGCGTCTCCAAAAGATTTCGATCTGAATTTCGTGAGAGTCTGAAAGTAGGGGAGACTGGCATCTTAAGCCCCGCCTGGAAGCGCGTGCAAGAGCCCAGGGAGAAGGGGAGGGAGGGGGTGACCGGGAGGCTAGGGGTGCGGAGGAGGCTCCATCCCGGACGAGGGCCGCGGGGTCCAGAGCTGGATGGAGGCCGAGGAGCGCAGGCTGCCGGCTTGCTGGGCGTCGCAGAAGCCAAGTGGGAGAGGCGCGTTTCCTGGCCCACAGTGGCACCCTCCACCGAGATCAGACCGGGCTCCGGGACATCCGCCCGGGGCCCCCAGGCAGAACCCCCCTCGGCAGGTCCTGTCGAGGCCTCCACGAGGTCCCAGGAACCCGCAGCCCTGCTGGCCCACGAAAGGGGACCGCCACCACCTCGCCGTGCACGGAATGCCCTCCCACTCCGCGCCAACTCCAAGCCCAGAGTCACCGTCGGCTGCCTGCTCTGGGAAGGAAGGGAGCTAACTGAAATGAGACGTTGATTAACCAAAAAGGGGTGGGAAGTTAGGGAATCGGCCTGAGATGTGATTACGGGAGGCACTTACCAGCTGGAAAAGGGCAAAGGAGGTTGTCCACAGAGTAGCTGGTGGCAGTTATTTGAAAAATTAAAAACATCTCATGTGTATGCACTTCTGATGAACTGAGTTACACAGGCACAGGCAGGGCTGCTTTTGCAGCTCAGCCAGCTTGGGTGTTGGTGTCAGCAAGCTGCTTTACTTGTGGGGCGACCTCAGGTGAGCATTTAACTTCCCTGAGGCTTAGTTTCTTCTTTGTTAATGTGAGGCTGACATTAACCTCTTAGCTACATCACAGGGTTCTGTTTAGGGGCAACTGAGGCAATTTCTGAGTGAAAGTTCAGAATCATCAAGTATTGTATAAACCTTAGCTCTCATTAAATGAATTTCAAATTCACTCCTCCCCATGCTTTCTGATTCATCTCATGATTTAGGGTATAACTGCTTAAAGTGGAGAGTTGAATATTCAGTTCAATTTGATAAATATTTATTGAATGACTCCTGTTGTAAAGAGCTGTCTATAGAATTTGATCAGTGTGGACAACTGGTCTGAATCACGTGAGCCTCCTTTAGGATTTTGTCAGTGGCTTTTGGGAGGGTTGGGTATCTATTACTGACATGTCATCTTCAACTGTTCAGTTCATTTTCTGCATGATTGCCTGTTGACCTTCCATTTTTTACTATGGAAAATACCTGTTATGATGATGAATAATTGGCTTTGTTTCCAAGTTATTTCCTATACCTAATTTATTCTTATTTAGAATTGTAATCAAACACTATTCAGTGGTTTAATGGTGGGCTTCATAGTTCAAGCTGAGACTGACTTTATTCAAGGGGGAGAATACAATTTTATTATTTATGCTATTTCAGGTTAGGTTATTTTCAAATAGTTGAATAAAGCTAAATATATTAAATATGTACATAAACTTGAGAACTCTAAAGAGAGGAAAATCCTTCTGCAAACGACTACATAATAGTTTGGAGGAGGAAAAAGCCCAAAGGTGTATTTTAAGGTAAAGAAGTATACTTTAACTAGAATAATTTATAATTTAAAGAACTGACCCTGTAGCTTGAGTTCTACATTATAATTTCATTGCAGTTAAATCCAAAGAACTATTTTCTCCCTGATGGAAGTCTATTTGCCTGTATGGTTCCTGCATAGTTTTAAAAGTGTAATCATATATTGCCTCATATTACTTTAATTTATTGCCTAAGTATTATTCTAACAGGAAAGACAGTCCTTAGAGCAGAGAGATTGTGTGGCTCTTTCCTAAGCCCCTCCACTCAGTGTTTTTCACAGAACTATGCCTAAAATAATTACGTAATATATATCTTTGACTTGATTAATTGTCCAGATGCTTTTTTTGTACTGTGATTTGTTTCTATTGGGCCAGATATTGTTATCCCTAATTTAGCTAAATACTCCACTGTCGACTTAGACTTTTTGTAAATTTAAACCTTATCTCATAAATTACCTTGGGCTGTCAGGCTTCTGTAACAATTTCAAGGGGATTAGCATTTCCCTTCTTTAATCTACAGAAGATTAAGAGAATAAAGTCTCTTAGAATAGTTCAGAATGGCACTCATTGTGAGCAACTTTGAAGAAATAAAGTTGGAAAAATGTTTTACAGCTATGACCAGCCAACGCATCCACTGTCCTTTGCTTTGGGTTTTGGTTTGAGGTCCATAGAAAGTTATCTCCTTAAGGGAGAGCCATCTTGGATGATATCTAGCCTCTAGTTTCTGTCTAGGGATGGAGGGGGGCGTAAGAATGATGCTTCTTTCATCACTGATCACTTTGGTGACATCAAAGGATTAAGGGAAGTGTTTTTCCCTAGGCCTCTCACCTATTTCTCTTGTCCCTTCCTCTTCACTCTCCATAAAGCTTATCTTGGAAGCCAGGCACCATTTGCCATGTGACAGTAAGATGTGTGTAATACATGCTTTGATGGGTTTGTGTTTATAACACAAATACATGGAGTTGTCATTGAGGCAGGAATTGCTTGCTATGAAGAGGTACATCCTGAACAGGGATGACCAAGGCTGGCCTGTGGTCAGATCGGCTTCTTCACGTAACTTTCTCTCCCCCTTCATATCTATACCTTTACTTATGAGAGTCCCACTTTTTTTTTTGTTGCTTTTGTTGTTCATTTTCTTTTCT